CTCAGCAACTGCTGAGATTCAAACAGCTGGGTCTGCCTACCTTTAATGTTTGTATTTTAATACAATCCAGATCATGTTCAGATTTTCAACCTCAATACTCATATAAAACTGGCTTTAATCTCCATATTGTGAAGAGCTTAGCATAACGTTTGGCACTTAGTAAACACTCAACAAATCATATCTATTGTTACCTCTGTCACACATAGGTTTTTCTCCCTTTTTCATACTTTCTGTTTAATACTGTCTGTGTGCCACTTCTTATTTATTTATTTGATATCTTCAGTTTTGCATTAAGAGAATGAGAGTAGGAAAACAGAGAGTGTGAGAGAGATATCAAATAAAAAAAACAAAAGAAAAATTAACCAATAGACACCAAAGAAGTAGAGGTAGGAAATAACACTTGACCTGTAGAGTGGTAGTTAATTACTCATTTGGTTTGTCATATCCTCAGATATTTGCTTTCTTTTATAATAGTCACAGGCGGTTTTGTCAGATTTTAAACACCGAATATGGGTGCTGATGTTTTAGTATATGGCATGGTCCATCTTCCCCCTTTCCTTCTCAATGAAAAAACACTGTTTCATTCATATGATGAATTCTGCCTTATTGAGATGTTTTCTTTTTTGGCCAAACTAGGTCTTTGAATCTTCCTATGGCTTCCAACTTAATAGGTCTAAAATGAAATTTATCGTCTTTCTTTCTGCTTTACCAAATGCACTCCCCATCTCATTTACCCCGTTTCTGACTGTGGTGCCATGGTCCCAGTGTCTCAGTCAGAAACCTTAGCATCACCTTTGATTCCTCTCCATCTCTCTAACTAAGCCATCAGTGGATTCTTTCATCTCTTCCAGTGAATTGCCCTCTGGAATTCCCTGCTACTCATGTCAGCACTGCAAGCACTTGATTCTGGCTCCTTATCACTTTTAGACTTGAATTCCTGCCCCAGCCACTGAACAGGCCAAAGCTGCCTAGATACCTTCATTCTCAAACAATCCTATATGCTAGTGACTAAGCAAAACAAATTTTTAAGACATTATTTCTTTATATAGGTCAGCAGTAACTCTGTATTCAGGCTTTTTTGCCTAGGTTTATAACTCTGCCTCTTCTTACTTATTTCTATCAAGTTTCCTAATTGTAACAATGTACACCCTTTACTTTTATTCAACCATATTAATAATGATAATATATAAAAGTTATATGGAGCCTACTATGTGCGAGACACTGTTTTACATGCTTCACTTTCATTACAGTATTTCCATTTTAGAAAAGTTAACTGAGGGCCAGTAACTTGCTTAACTCACTATCATTACTGGTGCTTGAGTGTTTAATAAATGCTTTATTTGCACCACATAAGCCTTCCAAATACCATGCTAAGTTAGCCCTTTATCTTTATTCATGAAGTTCTCTATTCAGTTCCTAGAATAGTCTTTCTCTTCCCTGTATCCAAATTGCGTCAACCCTACAAATACTGCCTTGTTTCATTTAAAAAACCAAACTCATTGCTATTTAGTTGATTCTGAGTCATAGTGACCCCATAGGCCAGAGTAGAGCTACTCCGTAGGGGTGAATCTTTATATAAGCAGACCACCACATCTTTCTCTCATGGTGCGGCTAGTGGGTTCAAACTGCTGACCTTTTGCTTAGCAACCATGTGCTTAACCACAGACCCACCAGGACTCCTTGACTCATTTGTTGGTTGTTGTTGTTAGTTTAATATTCTTAAAATCCTAGTCTATTTACAAAGAATAATGTTTTATTTTTCGTATTTTAATTTTTTTGTAATTTGGGTGAAAGTTTACAGACCAAATTCATCTTCCATACAGCAGTTCATACACATTTTGTTTCATGACATTGACTACAATCCTCACAATCTAAGAGTTCTCTTCCCACTTCCTCCCTATAGTTACCTCTTCCCTGTGTCCTTCTTTCCTGTGCATTCCTGCCCACTGAGATATCTCCCTGTACAAATACTACCCTTCTGTTCTCCCATGATTGGTCATTCTAAAGAGTATATCTATCTGGTATAAATGTTTACCGTTTGTGCCTGTTGCCTGTCTGTTGTTTGGCTGGAAGCCATAAGCGTGAGTTCAGTTCCAGACCTGAAGGGTAACTGGAGGCTATCAAGGGTCTCACCAGGGTCTATCAGACCAGTAAGCCTGGTCTTTTTGATGAATGTGAATTTTGTTCCACATTGTTTTCCCACTCTATCCAGGATCACCTACCCTGATTCCTTTCTGAGTGGTTGTCTGTGGTAGCCAGGCACCATCTAGTTCTTCTAGTCTCATGGTCATATCAGCTGAGGCTCACATGGTCCACTAGTCCCTTGAACTAGTGTTTCCATGTGTTCTTGGTTTTCTTCATTCTTCTTTGCTCTGGAAAAGGATATAGCCATGGTTGCATTTAGCTGGCCACTTGCAAGCTTTTAAACCCCAGTCGCTACTCACCAAAGTAAGATTTAGAACAATGTTTTTGTGTAGTATGTTATGCCAGTTGAGCTTGATGTCCTCTGCAACCATGGTCCCGAGCAACTACTCATTCTATCAGCATGGTTGAGTGTGCCTAAGAAATTATCATAACTTTGTCCCCTATTAATTCTATTTATAGGGACATTCTTATAGCATATACAAAAGAGAGTAATGCTTCATAATACATAGTGGGTACTATAAATACCTAGTTATTGGATATGGAAGAGCCCAGGCCTTATATCTCTCTGGACTTCTATGGAAAATACTTACTCACAATGTACACATAGATACATTTCAATCCAAAAGGTAATAAAATAGTTTTAGGTATAAAAATGTATTAGGTAACTACAGAATAAGATTCATAATCCATATCTGGAAATATTAAAACTATCATATTTGAGCATGTACTATATGCATGTACTATATGTAAGGAGGAGCTCTGGTAGCATAGTGGCTAAAGCACTTGACTGCTAACCAGAAGGCTGGTGGTTCAAACCCACCAGCCACTCCTCGGAAGGAAGGTTGGGCAATCCTACTTCCGTAGTGATACTGCCTCGGAAACCCAAGGAGGGGTCGCTATGAGTCGGGGCCGACTCGACGGCACATAACAACAACAACAACAAATATGTAAGGCAGTGAGTTAAACATTTCACATTCATTATCGTAGTCCTTAGAGCCAACTTGTTAAGTAGATGATGAAGCTAACACTCAGAATGATTAAATAACAGCTGATAAGCAGCAAAACACTGTTTAAACCCAGGTACTCTTGACTCTAAATAGACTTACTCAAGCACTATACAACATTTTATTTTGTTCAATTTCATTATTGCTGGAGGTTTCACCACTTAAGAAATACTTTCCTGTGTAAGGTCACTAACTTTAAATGTGTTGATCATGCATGTGAAACACTTATCATTGTTTCTAGCCTAAAGTAAACATTCAGTAATGTTAGCCTTTATAGTTGCTATTCCTTCAAATTACACTAATGTATCTATGATACTGTCTTTCACCTGTATGCAAATTTACCTTTAAAGCCTGAATCAGCTATTTATTACCTCTGTAAAATCTGGATGGATATATATGTGTACATATGCTTAGGGTTTCAAGAGGGCAAAGAGGATTTAGAGAGTGAGATTAAAAGGGAGCTCCTTACTACTGTTTCCACTCATGTTTCTTCAGTGAAGACATCTGCACAGTGTTATCTGTAGACATGCCCGTCTGAGCTCACACATGGGAATTAGGTGATGGATGTCAGAGATATCTACACCTGGCCCCCAATGTCTTTGAATGGATTTTGAGTATTGATCTACTTTTTATGTTTTCTTAGCACAGGCTTTCAGATCTTCTTTTCAAGATATGTCATCTCATTATTCTGCAGATTGGTCAATGGCAGTATCATAGGCAGCATTAACACTCTAGTTTTTATTTTTATATATATACTATCATAACCACTCCTCAGAAGGAAAATTGGGCAATTTACTTCTGTAGAGATACCACCTCAAAAACCCAAGGAGGGGTCACTATGAGTTGCAATCGATTCAATGACAGAGTTTGTTTTTTGGTTATATGATCATTGTGCACTTAGAATATGGAGCTTAGTAAATAACACCTGACTAGAGACTAAACAAGGAGCTGTGGTGGCATAGTGTCTAAGGCATTTGACTGCTAACCAGAAAGTTGCCAGTTCAAACCCACCAGCCACTCTGTGGAAGGAAGATGGGTCTATCTATTTCCATAAGATTTACCCCTTTGGAAACCCATTGGGGGTCGCTATGAGTCAGAATTGATATGATGACAGTGAGTTTGTATTTTTTGGAGACTGATGCCTAAGGCATTTGACTGCTAAGCAGAATGCTGGCAGTTCAAACCCACCAGCCACTCTTCAGAAGGAAGGTTAGGCAATAAACTTCCGTAGAGATACCGCCTCGGAAACCCAAGGGGGGTCGCTATGAGTTGGATCCGACTCGATGGCAATGAGTTTGGTTTTTCTTTTTTTTTCTTTGTTGGAATATTATGAGAATATCTGGGCAAATCCAGAGTGCAAGGAATCTAATAAAATGAGGGAAAATTAGCCTCATTTTATTTGTAGCTAAAGTTATAACTGTCTAATGGTAGAATGGGAGAGCTTCTATATGCTTGGGTGTTAAAATGATGCTTGAACTGGTAACATTATACCTGTGTAATTTAAGGTATCAGTTACCTGTTGATTAGTGAAATCTTAGAATAAAAATTTAAATATTCAATATAAAATTTAACTATGTATATTTGTTTTCATGTTACTCATATTATTTCACATTCCTCTTTGGATCAAATGACATAATATGTGAAAGCTACTTAATTGAAATTATGTTTTCTTAGCACAGGCTTTTAAAATGTAAGCACACTATACAAAATATAAGGTCTTTTAATTTCATTTTATGGGAGCAAACAATAAGAAGTATACATGTTAAATGAGTTGAATATGGGAATCATCTCTTTTCAGTACTGTTTACATGAAACTAAACAAATTTCAATGCATATTCATTTTATTTTCAGATTCAAAATGCTAATGATGTATTAATTGCACCACTTGAGAAATTTCGAAAAGAACAGATAGGTGCAGCAAAAGTAAGTGTCATGTTTCATTATTTTTCTCATATATTTCTGATCCTTAGAAGTGACTTAATTTCAGATGTTAACGTATTTGAAATTAGAATGACCTTTTAAACTATTCTGGATATCCGTTTTAACTTTTTGCACAGAGCCTGATACAAAGACTGGAATTTTTTAAAACATAATAGATATTATTCTTCTGCTGAATAGAGAGTCAGGATGCTATAAATGAGTTCTTCCTGCCCCAACAGTGTGGCAAATTACCTATTTTAAAAAGAGGATAAAAGTATAGGAAAAAATGTGCTGAGCTTTTTGTTCTTAATAACTATATAAAATAAAAAGTGGGTGCAGGGTATATTGAAAATTCATACTTAGATTATTCTTTGTATTTTTTGTTATTAATTTAAATATTATTGTGGAAAAACTTTAAATGTGTGCCATAAAGCTTTCTTTTGTGATAGTGCTTAATTGATCATATTCCAATCAAGATTTCCCTGAGCCTAATAATTTACTTACACTCTCTTTCTTAGATCCATGTTTTACTCACCTGCTCAGCATCATGTAAGCACACAAGACTTAGAGATTCCAAAACAGAGCTCATCATTTTCCATTCCTGTTTTGTTTTCCATTTATTTAATGGCATGCTCTTCACTCATTCAAACAGTGCTGTCCATTCTACTCAAGAATCATTTCTTCTTCTTTCCTCCTTAACTTCTGTCTGAAATAGGGAAATAACCTACTAATTGATCTCCACACCCCCATCCTAATCTCTTTAGTAAATTTTTGCTCTTTTTGATGACGTCACTCTTTAAGTGAAGAAACCTTCAATGGCTCTCCTTAAAACACAATTCATTGCTGACAACGAAAGCTCTCCACAGCTTGTCCATTACTATATTTCAGTGTCTCTCCACCAGGCACCATAGTCTGTTCACCAGTGTCTACAATATATAGATACTGACTCTGTATCTTTATCTTTGCCCAAAGTTTTCCCTGTGCCTGGATATTTCTTACTCTCCACTTGTTGAAGTCTTGCTAGTTCTCTATGACATATTTAAATATCCCTGCACCAGAAAAAAAGTCTTTCTTATACAGGCTTTTTAGTATAGCCATTTCCTTTCCAGAACTGTTTGTGTATTTTTTTTCCTTCTAATACAATCTATTACTACTTATACTTATTGCTTGCAGAAAGCTATCACAGCCTGCCTTGAATTAGAGTTTTATGTGCATGCCTCCACCAATTATGAGTAATTATTAGGTCAGAAACTAAATGAGAACCTTTTTGTGTTAATCAATTCAGCAAATGTTTACTGATATCATGCTTTGTTTGGCCATATGTGGCTACCATGGTGTTAGATAAGGTGAAGGGATACAATGTAAACAAGACAGACATGATTCCTTGCACTTACATCCCTTATTATCTTTTGTGGCAAACAGACACTGAAGTAATTACAAATGCACTGAGGGTTGTGATGCAAAAATGCAGGATGCTTTGAGAACATGTAATTGATGGACCTGACCTTGTCTGGAGAATCAGGAAACGCCTTCTGGAGGAAGTATTGCTTAAGCAGAGACATAAATGATGAGAAAGAAATAGCTGGGAATGGAGATTAGAGGTAGGAAGGGAGGAATATTCCAAAAGAGGAAACAAAATGGGTTTACGACCACTATGGGCAGGAGGGTAGGAGGAAGTCTTTCAGAGCATTTTAAAGGAAAGAGGTCCAATATGTTTAGAATATTGAATGCCAGTGGGGTAGGGGCCACATGCACAGCTTTATGAAGAGTTCACAGTATTTTATTACTTATCCTAAAGTCATTTATAACCCATTAAAAAGTCATATGCAAGGGAGTGCTTTGTATGTATATTTTTAAATATTTCTCTGACTGCCATATCATTCATGGATTAAAGGAACCACACTACCTGTCAACCTGTTGGAGGCAGGAATTGGTAGTGGCTTTAGAGGAGTTTCTAGCTGGTGTGAACAGTTGATGTTCTTGTCTGCTAACTAAAAGATTGGAGGTTGGATTCCACCCATAGGCACCTTGGGAGAAAGGCTTGGCAATGTTCTTGTGAAAAATCAGCCATAGAAAGCGTTATGGAAAAATCAGCCATAGAAAGAGTTAGTTCTACTCTGACACAGTGGATTCACTGTAAGTCAGAAGTGACTCAATAGCAACTGGTTTTTAGGCTCAGAAAGTGACAGTGGCTTGGGGATAAGGGGACATATATTAGAACTATTTCAGAGATAAAATGGAAAAATAGGAAATAAGTTACTTATGTGAAGGGAAGAATGGGAAGATTTCAGGGATGATCCTGAGCCTTCCAAGACCATAACTGGGTGGTTGTTGGAAGTACTTATCAAGATAGACATTTATATTTGAACGGCAAAGATGGTGAGTTTAGTTCTAGACACATTGAATTTGCGGTTTTTCTGAGAAATTCAAGTAGAGTTAGCCTGTGTATTCAGATTTGAATTAGAATTATTATCCTCTAGGTGTTAAGGAGCCCTAGTGGTGCAGTGGTTAAAGTGCTTGGCTGTTAACCAGAAGGTTGATCATTTGAACCCTCCAGCCACTGCACAGGAGAAAGATGTGGAAGGTTGTTTCCATAAAGATATGTAGCCTTGGAAACCTTGTGGGGCAGTTCCACCTCTTCTGAATAGAGTTTCAATGAGTCAGAATAGACACAACCACAATGTTTTTATTTATGTGTATATATATATATATATATATATATATA